GACAGGCCGCCTAGCCTATTTCCACCCCTACTAGAATCAATTGATATTGAGTAGCCTTTAAGGCCTACCCCTAGTATAATTTAGAGTTCATACATTTCCACCTTAAAGTATCTCTTAAGACTAATAAAGCACAACTTTTCACATTCCAATTCTTAGGATCAATTTTATCATAATTCATATTAACACCCCGAATAGTACTTTAATACTAGTCGGATAATCTTAGAACAACCAAGTTCTTAATTCATGGTCATATAGCCAATTCAAATGATCTTCCAATCAAAATATAATTTATTTCTCAATACCCAAAATATTACTTTTATTCATTCATGTATTCTTCCATGAAGTAAAAAATATATTTTATCACAATGTCTTGTAGTTAATTCAACTATCGTGTCATTATATTCATAACACATAATCATACACAATTTATTCTAAATTTGTACGTCATACTCCATTTATTTATAGACAATAGTTTTCTCATTCTTAGGCTTTATTAAATATTAATCATTAATAATCCATAAAAGTCATGCTTAAATACTTAAGGTAATCTTATGAAATGAACAACTAATTATAAGGAATATAGTCAGTCATCTTCACCTTATGATGTGCTCAACTAGTCGCCTTTGCAAAACCCCTTGATCCGTTCTCGTTCTACGTCGATCGGAAAGTGAACAGGCTGATAGTAGGTGAAAGTCGGGCGGCTTTCACAGAAGCCGGTTGGCGCTCGTCCTCTGCAACTTCGAGACAGCCTCCTTTTTCTTGGCCTGGCGGTTTCCGGCTATTTCAACTCCTATCAATTCCACGACTCTTCTAAGTTAAATACCACCACTTTATATCAATATTTCACACTTCTAAACATGTAGAATCTCTTCTTTAATCCACTACATGATTTCTTAAAAATCATATGAAAATAAACCAGTTAAATGAATTGTTTGAGTTCTTATCTCAGTTCCTAGCTTTTTCTCTTTGGTTTTCCTTTCCTTCTAGCTTCATCCAAGATTGTTGTTGAGAGAGATTTCTATCCCCTTATCCCCTTCTAAATGGTTCAAATGGTGTAGAGAAGGAGAGAAGATCTCTTCTTAATCAAAGGCCAAAAAACAATTCCAAGACAAGACATGGGGGTGTGCATGGTTTGTCTCTAAGAGTCTCCCATCACCTTTGTCCGCCTCCCTCTTCTATGATTGTCCCAATTTGACTATTTAGAGTGTACAACACATGTAGGAAGGTCCCCAAGTGGGGGTGGGATGTCCATCCCCATTATTATTGCTATTTTTGGTAGGTTGAGTCAAAATAGTACTTGGATTGTCCAAAATATTTTCCTCAACTTTAGTTTGCATTTTATTAGGCTTCTATAATTTTTATGATGGCCCAACTAATTATTTGGTAGCTCATTCTCAATATTATGGGACCGATAAATGATTTAAATAATCATTCATTAATTAAATCCATCATTCTTCTACACACAATTATTCGCTACGAAATTCAAATACATATTGACTTTTGATTCAAATACATCCGGGTGCAGTGTCACAAACATATTATTAAATAATATGTTATGAGATCTAACTCAAATATAATAGATAAATCAAAGCATGCATTATAAACTGAATTATTAATAGATACAATAATCAAATAATTAAAGTATAAGCATGCAACAAACAATAATATAATAATTGGTTAAATTTAAAGTAATCCTTCCAAATCTAAAAAAATAATTAATCTAATCAAAGTAAGGTTGATTTTAATATTGCTAGAGTTTCAAATCTGTCACCTTAAGACTATCAAACAGTCCTAAAGAGACAAAAAATGACTAACATACTCCTTATTAGCCAAATTTTTTAAAGAGCCATATATGATGACTCTTATATGGAGTCACATAGGCTATGTGGCATCACCATCACCACTCACGTTTTTAAAGAGCCATATATGATGACTCTTGTATGGAGTCACATAGGCTATGTGACACGTGATATTGTGTCTATTCCAATAATCTTAGTCTCTATCTCTGAATCTTTCTAGATGATTCATAACAATCATATCGATATCCAAAATGAATATATCTTTGCATTGACCAATGACTTAATGATCCATCTAGATAAGAGAAGTAGAATGTTCTCTCTTATTCTATTACGAGGAATGAATCCTTTCTTGGCTCAACTACTACTCCATGTGGTTCGTGATGTACCCAATACATGCCCGCATCCACCCCGATTGGAGTGCAAGCGTTGGTCATGTTCAAAGTACACCACTCCACAAATGAAGTACGTATTGACTTCAAGTCGGAGGACTATTACACTACTCTATACGCGGATAATTCCATACACATGAATAGAACTTATCAAATAGTTTCTTGATGAGTATGCCAATGATCTAAAATATCTATGTGACCATCATTAATTACAAAAATTCATAGTTGTGAGATCAACTATACTTTCTAAAAGAATGATGTAGTCCGCATACCAATCTTATCGCATATCATGAATATCCAATTCTTGATAATCAACGGTTGAGGGTATTTTAGGACTCTATGTTATATCATATAAGCTCCCACTTACTCAGTGACAACATCAGTCCAATGGAACACAATTATGAATAAAAAAATTGACAATCGAAATGCTTAATCATCAATGTGTAATACTGTACATATCAAATATATAAAATTAAATGTGATCAAGTATATATTATCCTTCGTTCCAAATTAAATGCAACATACCCTCCTGGCACACAAATTAAGAAGCACCTCTAAAGTAATATCTTCCCTCTTTTACCCTTATGCATCATGAACATCTTTTAATATTTCTCTCTCACCCATTTTCCTCTTGTGTAGCACCTGTTTGGAGCAGTGCTCGTGTAATGATTACACAAAGTAACTTTCGTTTGTTATTGATTTTAACATGTCAGGCTCCGCTTAATTTTTTAGCTGATTGATTTGCTGATTCAAACTATTATCTCAATTCATAAAAGGTGAGAGTTTCTTCGAATTCAGTGTTCCTTATTAGTGTCTTCAGATTTTGGATCTTGACCGAAGCAGCTAGAGGCTACAACAACTACTGCCATCACCATTCTCAAGTTCTGGATGGAGCCCCGGGAAAAATATTTTGGGAGAAGAAATTTATGTGGGGGAAATAAACACAAGATGGGGTTATACAAGATTGAAAGAAAGAATAAAGTGAAAAAAAAAAACAGGGGTGGAAGAGAAAGGAGTTCGTAAGAAGGAGGTCGGGAGTTGGAAATGGGGGAGGTGAAGGAGTGGGTGGATGACCAGAAAGGGTTGGGTACTTGTGTGTGGTGTAATTTGGGTGGAAAGGATGAAGATGTGATGTTGATAGTCATGGATTATAATCCTTTTTATTTAAATGAATTTAAGGGTATTAAAGTGATTGTGGTAATTTTTATTACTAAAAGAGACAATGTACTATTGCAACTAATTGGAAACAGACAAAAAAGGAAAGTGTTGCAATTAAAAAACGGAGAAAGTATATATCTCTAAAAGGTGATTGTCATGACCGGGACATATATACTAACATATGTAAGATGGAAGTAGTAAAAACTGAAGTCCCTAGAATTTAACATAGTATAACGGTCGAAAAATGGAGGTTAAGAGTTTATGCAACTTATATTTTTCCAATGAGATGGGAAGCTGATCATAATGACAATGAAAAGGCATGCCACACGGATGAATATTTTTTATAACCCGTGATTCTCCACACGTTGTTGATGCCGTCTGAGGAGTGAGATTTTCCACTTTTGGCACTTTAATTGATGACAAATTTTATTAGGTAACCTCTTTTAAAAAAATTCAAGTTTGTCATATCATAACATGAGTGCATCATGTTACTCATTAGCATTTAACTGTCTTAGAGCATCTCCATTCATGATACTCAATTGTATGGTTTTTATGGCTTATTATTGCCATGTTACCTCCACATAAGAAAATCTCAAATAATCTCCAAATCTATTAATTTCTGTTCATCCATAATCTTAATTTACCTAGATTTTTTTATGACACATACACTCAATTTCAAAATCTCTAACTTAAATGGACTCACACACTCACATGCACTCCATGTTAGTGGGTACATAAAAAAAGTGTACTATTCTAGTTTCTACATACCGATGAATTATTAAGTACACTGCATAAGTACACTATTATATATGTATATACTATATAGTATATTATTAGGTACACTAAATTTGTAATACTTTAGTACTATATTACTATATATATTACTACGTACACCATTATAATTTTTTTTTACCTAAAACTATATATTTTTATTTATAACATTTCAATAAATAGGTACACTAAATCTATAATACTATAGTGTCGCATGCACTTTTTAATTTAGTAATAGATAATGGTATCACTTTTTAATTTAGTAGCAACGGATGGATGTTGCATGCACGAGCTACAAAGTTACCTTAATTATGTGTATATGCCTAGAAAATGAGGAGAGGAACCTAGAAGTTAGAAATAATCTTCAAATAATATAGTTTTAGAATTTGATACCAGGTTTTTTTTATCAAATAATCTCTTCAAATAATCCTAACTTCTCAACCATAATCTCAAAAAAAAATCCTCCACATCATCACAATGATATCTAAAAAATCTATGGATGAGGATGCCCTTAGATCTATTTTTGGGTTAGGGATGTGCGACCATAGATGTATTGATTATATGTGTGTACTTATCGTTTTCTTAAAATGACGATTAAACATGATTTCATGTCAGGGTTGTATCTCAAACTAGTTGGCGAATGATTATTTGGGAATTAATATAATTGACTTTTTCCTTAAAAAACATGATTTCAATACTTGTAAACATATATAGTGAAATGATGTATATTTAGGCATTAAAATGTCAAAAGAAAATTTTGAATTTTGGCATATATGATGAGATCAAAATGCCACATGTTAGCATCTAAGCTATCTAGAAGAATAATTATTTTACCCTTTTCTATTACAATAAATAGGACTTTGGCATCCATGGAAGTTCCCTATAAAAGAAGTACAATTTGCTTTTGTTAGTTGACTATCATTTGTTCTTATATTCAAGCTTGTCAACTTCATATCTCTACAAGGCTTGTCTTTACTGCATGTCATAATTACAGACACTTCATCATCAGAGGTACCAACAATGTTTATGAACTTGACATTCGAAATTTGAACTTGAGACTCTCCCTGCATAGCACGTACATGTGTACATAATGAATTATATTTATTGTAATTTATGATAAATAATAGTGCATTTAAAGTTTATAACTATACCTTCCTCAAATAAAATGATCTAGCTATTTAAAAAATGGTTGTAGGATGCGCAAGAAAAATTGTAAAAAAGGAAATTATTGACATTTTATAGATTATATGTCACCCTAGACGGGTAAGAACATTTCAAATGTAATAATGTCAAAGTACTTATGTGCCAAGAGATATTTAAATACACGAGAAAATATAATTTGTCTCATTTATTTTCACATATTTGTAAGTTTTTATAAAAGAAAGTTCTCCCTAATGTCAAACACAATATAATATTTTAAATGAACATATTATTTGAAATGATATAGGGATCTTACATCTCTATGGTGTGCCAAAGCACGATATTTAGCATTTTCCCACACTATTTGATTTATTTAAACATTTTCTATATTTGTTTATTAATGTTTATCTGATTTTATGCTTCGATTGAAGCATTAACAAGATGCTATACAAATTAACTATAATCATATAGCTTTTTCATGTGAGGCACCAATATTTTTTTGAACATGACTAGGGATCTCAATTCGAAACACCTAATTATAAATAATGGCATTGAAAAAATATTAAATGGTTATATTTATATGTATCTATTTTATATCACATGCTTGATAAGTATTGTGTGAAGAAAATGTACCTCATGTCGACATTTATGATTGGGACAATAATGTTGATCCACGATAACTGCGTTTTGGACTTGGTTCAAAATGATATCCTGAAAAGTAACATTGAAGACATTGCTTGAAGGAGAAGGGGCCCATGTTTTGATCCTCAGGCCATTAGTTGTGTTTGTAAGAGTGCAATTATGCACTCTAATTCCACTCACATCTTCTTCATTTTCATACTTCCCTAAACTTCCAATGCTAATGCCATGGCCAGGACCACATCTTGTCTCATACACCTCAATATTTACACTTCCTGGTCCTAATGAAATACAATCATCCCCAGTGCTAATATCAAGATTATGGGCATACACATTACTCGTTCGACTGATGTGAATTCCATCTGTGTTGGGACTATCCCAAGGTGCATAAATATTCACATTCTGTATTTCAATGTGCTGACTATTGTCAACTATGATGTGAAAATATTTACTATTGATCGAGTTTATCCCATCAATAAGCCCATACTCGACACTGTTGAATTTGATATTCTGTACAAAAACATATAAAATGGACACTATTAAAATCCAAAGAAATATGAAATAAAAAGATGAAAAATTACCTCTCTGCTAAAAAGATTGTATTCACATCTCATTGCTAAATATATTCACTCTATGTGCATTGGTAATCTTCTATTCAACTGTACACAACTTAAAACCTCATCACAAATTAAAAAGTTAAATAATGAGGTCCATAGTACGTCTAGAAGAAACAATTCATGACTTTGGGGTTGTCTTGGATGGGAAGTTACAGAGCCGTCCATGGATGGCAGGCACCTAGGCAATGGCCTAGGGCACCACTTCCATGGAGGGCACCATTTTTTTTAAAACCACTAATATATACGTAGTATGTATATTAATCAGTGTTCCAGTCTCAAAAGTTAACCGCCTAGCCTTTTCAAGCGTTGGAAGCCTTGTCCTTTAGAAGAGAAGGAAGACGGAGTGTTTATGAAGTTTCGTGATGAGAGAATAGATCTGTCGCTCCGGTGTGGGATTATTGGAAAAACAAATACGAAGTACTTCGTCTAAACTCTAAACATTAAACTGAAGTGTGGGAGCATTTGAACGTGGGTATGACTTTAAGACTTCGTATATGGGCTACTGGCTAGCCATATTTGATATTACCAAGTCAGCTTCATCTAATTTTTTGTACTACTCTTATTATTTTTATTATTAATATTAATTATTGTTGTTCAAATTCTTTTTATTATAATTATTTCATTATCGTTATTGTAGTTTATTGCTATCAATATCAACCTCCTCACCACTATCATGTTAATAAAGGTACTTTTAAAATAGGAAAAATTGAAAATAATTCTGATCCGCTAACAAAAATCCCGATTATTGATTATTTTTGTATAATTCCAACTATATGGACCGTCCGCCAATAATGGTCCATGACCAGATATTACCTCCTATAACAAGTGAATTTTAAATAGAAATTAAGCGTAAAAATTAAAAGTTGGGATTTTTTATAGGGATTACTTGTTATATCTCTTCTCATCCACTTTAGAAACTACATGAATTTATTTATAGCCGGTCATGTCGAACCATTATTGGCAGAAAGTCCCTAAAATTGGGATTATTCTGAAATAATCGATAGTTGAGATTATTATGAGAGGACCGTCAATAGTTAGGATTATTACAATCAATTTTCCATTCAAATATTACAATCGTAGAATTTATCAATTTATGTACGAAAAAATATTTTTTAGTTATTCTCACATACTTTATTTCAATTTTAAGTCAAGTATTACCTTTTATATTTAGTAAAAATGGTTTTACGATTTTTTTAATTTTAATTACTTCATATTTAATTGCGTTATTCATTTTATGTGCTATTTGATCTCGTTAATCATTCTTTGTCTGGGGCACCAAAACTCCTAGAGACGGCCCTGGGAAGTTATTGGGATAGAATGTAGACTTTACAAACAAACATTTTCATAGTTATACTTATATACTATACTTAAGATTAATTTACCATAAGAATGCAATTAAACTCATAAATTTTTAATATTCTTGTTGATCCAACTATTAGAACAAATAGTTTATACTAATGAGCAAACTAATATTCTCGCTAGTCCGATTCGGCCACTCGCGGATCCAGGGCCGGTTCTGGGGGGAGGGCAAGAGGGGCGACCGCCCTAGGCCCGAAAAAAAATAGAAGAAAAAATAGGCCCAAATATTTTTCTTTATGTGTAGTGTTAGTAGGCTTCTTTTTTTAATTCTTAAGGTCAGTTAATTAGGTCTAGTGTTTAATTTTGTTGACAATTTGAAAATTTAAAATGTAAATAAAAAGTTTAAACAGAGCCAAGTTTAAAAAAAGAATATATACATTAATTTTAAGTAGGATTGATTGTAGTCTTTACATCTCTTTAGCCTTTAAGGCTTTTTATTCATTTAATTAATTATAACATAACAAATTTATATAATTATTTTAGAGCCCATCTCTCTCAAATCTCATCCCAATTATTTATTTGTTTCCAAATTTCAATAAACTATATCTGAGTTCCTAATAGTAGTTTAGATGACGTCAAATTGGCAGTGTTCTTGCACGAGTGTTCTTGGCGGCCATACATTTTGTCTCTTTGAAAACCTTCATTCTTTCGAGACTTCAAACTTTAGACTCCTATTAACGGTCAATAAATCATTCTCAACTTATGAATTCAATATGTGGTGATATTTTTTTCACATTTCCTTTCAAAAAAAAGTTTAGTGTTGTTATATGTGGCAATTTTATTGTTTGTCATGTATTAATAGAAAGAAGGTTGCCTATGAAGCTAGCGATATTGATTATTTGCTTCATATTGTTCTACGAGAAATATTTTTTACTGATGTTTTTTCTTTTTATCCGATACTTGTGTTGTTACTTTTGCCCAAATATGTAACTTAAATAATAATAAAGTGATTTTTGACTTTATTTTATGAACTTCATTGGATATTTTTATTATAATTCTTATTTCAAATAAGTATACTGTCATAGGCCCAAAATAGCGTACCGCCCATAGGCCCAGAAATGGTGAGGACCGGCCCTGCACGGATCTAGGAGGGGGCCAACCTAGGCCTTTGTTCACTCCAAATTTAAAAATGTCTTAATTCTAATGTAAAAAGATTATGCAAAATTTTATTCAAAAATATTCTTTGTAGCGGCTCAGTCCGGTCCGATGCTCAAGTTCTGCTATGAATCCGGCCTAATTTCATGCATGCAAGAATATATATGTATGTGTGCAATTCATAGGGGTATATATATACCGAAGGAAATGGGATGCAATTCTTTTTAACTTTGCAAGGGTTGACCTTCCATGCATAAGCACCCTGGCCGTCAAAAGTGCCGCCGTGACCGCCCACCGTTAGATTGCGTAGATTGTTAAAGAGTATCCACTGCTCTTCTGTTAGAAAAGTCTTCTTGGGAGCCTTCAAAACGCCGTCCACTTGAAGTGTTATTGGGCCAACACATGGGCCGTTCAGCGTCACCGGGTCCAATAAGAATTTGCCACTATTCGGGAACACCACTGTACTACCGCTATCTTTGCATGCGAGGCCCCATGCTGCAAGCAATGCCTACAAATTTTAATGTGTTAATTACACTTAGTATGAATCATTGATTATGGAAAGTAATGACAAATATATTATCGAAATATAGATAGTGAATAAAAATATGAATTTTTATATTTTACAAAAAATGGAATTTGTTTTCACCAATCGAAGGTGGTTGTAGTGCTGGGAGGCGGTAGAGGTAGTGGGAAAGGCATCAATTTTTTTTAAACATTTTTACTAATTTTATTAATTTTTATTTTTTTAAAATTTTATTTTATAAATATTTTTATTTTTTATTTTAGGATTTTTATTATATTTTTACAATTTATTATGAATTAAAGCATTTTATTATGGATTAATACTCTTAGGGGTATTTAGGGTTAAAAAAATTAATGTTTAATCCTATTGTGAATGATTTAAGCTATAGTCCTATTTGTGAAATTTCCATTTAATCCGATTTAGGACAATTACTAATAATATATCTGAGTATTGTATAATAATAAGCAGAGTCGTCTAATGAATTTGGAGGCCGAATTCCATATATAAAACCGAGGCCCCACTATAACATAAAAAATATCTCAATCTAAATAACTTTACTCAAATCAATTTAATACTCATTAAAAAATCTACATAGTATTAAAGAAAATTCTAAGAGTCACTTAATATTTGATTTAAAGCAACACAACTCATAATTCAAGCAATTTGAGTAAAAGATAAATAAAAGGATCGACGAAAAAATGACATTATTGTATTTTTCTTCCTTGCCAACAATATTTTACTAGATAGTACGGAGTATATAATATTACTATATAATATTAATAAATGTTTAAAAAAAATGGGGCCCCATAAACGTAGAGGTCCTAATCTGTAGAACCTATTAAACTTCCTAAAACCAACTCTTTTAATAAGGTTAGTGATATGGTACCTACCATACACAAAAGATTAATTAAGGGCTGGGTACCATATATACCTATTGTTCATTTATTTGTTTGGTCCAATTCATCATTTCATCATTTATTTATGTTTAAATTATTCAATTGCAATATATTTGGAGGGTATCATAGAATTGACTCATAATATACGAAGTATAATAGCAATAATATTTATATATATGTATACCTCACTGCTGTCAGTTTTGCCGTTTGGAAGAGCACCAAAACTCTGCACATTATAGATTTTAGGTGTCCGAGCATCAACTACACTAACAAAAACTGCACTCACTAAAACCAAAACCAGAGGACTCCACATCCATACACTACTACTGGAAGCCATTATATACATTTTCTCAGCTCTAGTAGCTAATATATTACGGCTCAAAGATTTTTGTATTTCCTTTCTTTTATTTCACTCTGTATTTTATTTCATGGCATGCAAAGTCCTCCGATCCTACATATATAGATATGGTTGTGAACGTATAGTGCCCACTACAGACGCATTTATATATGTTATGAAATATATATAGGTGAGCAATTTTAAGGTAATTGCATGCTAATTAAGGTGGCTGGCAATCAACGTTCTGATTTTAATTTATCATTCATTTTCATACTAAATTTGTTTCCAATTAACGTATAGTACACACCTATATATATAATTATTATTATTATATAATCATGTAGGGATTGGATTTTGTTCGAAGTAACATATGCTAGCATAGTGAATTAGTGATTAGTGATTGTTTACTATGTTTGGATTGATGATCGATATACATTTCCCAAATGTGTTCTCTTTCTTGATCGTTATCGATTATATACTATAGTTATACATTTTCTTAACGAAAATAGGGACAGCCTAATTGATCACAATTTAAAGATCCCTTAACATTATAAGGTATAAAATTAATACGTTGTATATAAAAAAGAAAACATCCTGATCATTATACACTATTTTGTTCAAGGGTGTTCATGTGAACACCCAAATTTTGAAAATAAAATGTAAAAATACATACTTCGTATATAGAACTGATGCAATATTTTATACTCCGTATATTGATTTTTATGTAATATTTCTTGCTCTTCATCTTATTTTTGGAATATTAATGTTGGAAAAGTTACACTTCTCAATTGGTGGATCAAACAATATTATTGTGTGCAATAGATAGAATCATTTCGAACACCCTACATTTGGTTGCAAAATCCGGTAGCATTGCCATGAAGTGATGAGAATATCTGGCGGACATTTTTTCCGGAAATATCACTAAAACAAAACTTATTTAAACAAATAGGGAAATTATCACAAGCAAACTTAGAAAGTTAAATATAATATCACTTTTTCACTTTTAAATTTTTCTTTAAAAAAAGTCCAGTATATATTTCTCACTTGAATCTAATTATATATATATATATATATATATATATATGTTTGAGTATATATTTATAACGGGGACAGGGCGGGGATGGGGCGGGTGTAGCAATTCTCGTCCCCGCCCCATATTTTAACGGGGTAGAAATATCTCACCCATCCCCACCCCGCCCCTAGCCCCATCCTTCCCCCATGGGGTGGTTCCCCACGGGTCCCTGCCCCCAGGGGCGGCCCTGTATGTTCGAAGGCCTAGGGGTGGAAAATTAAAATGGGCCTAATGTTACAAAAAAAATTGTAGAACTCTTTTCTATCTTAAATGACATGCATAATAATTATAATAATAATATTTCAAGACATTTATAATTTGACTATGTGTTCTCATCTTGAGAAGGACATTCAAAATTTGACTTCTTTACACAAACAAACTTTTCCATTGAGCTTTTATTTTACTTATCGCCGCTTTCTCTAATCTTCTATTCTTTTGTATTTATCGTATTCAGATTCAATCCTTTTTATTACACATTGAAATTAATTAAGTTTATAAATTTTATCATAATTGAAAATGTTTGTCTCACAAAATCAACAAGTTATAACACCAATAGAAAAAACAATCAACAATCACCAATGAATTGTGAGTAGTTTAATTAGGAATTTGAGGTTGATGAAGGGGTTAATCATGATGTATGGCTAGTTTCTTGATGGATTAATTGCATGAATGTCGTTTAATTTGTGTCTGAATAATTTAACTGATATCGCTTGTAACCTAGATGTCCACTAGAATTACAATTGCTTGTAGAATAAATTAAGAGAGATCTAGTTTATTCTAAGACACATATCATTCACACACACTTAATCGTTCGCTAAGAGAGTAGTAGCGATTAAGGGGCCGTAAGCTCGCTCGTTTTGGCAATAATTTAGGATTCTGTCGCATGAGAGATCAGTCTGGTCCCCTAAATTGTTGCATTCTACGGCGCGAGAGCGGTAAGAACTTAGTAATGATTAGCTAGACTCAATTAAATTAATTTCATGTAATTAAGTCTGATCTGCCCGAAATCTAGTTACCCCGGAATCAATCCCTGTTCCCTTCGTCGTTAATTGGAGAGAAACCAATCTTTTATTTTTATCGCTCATTCGCATTAGTTTAATTTCAGTTTTCCCAACCAATCAATCTCGCACAATTACATTTTATTTTATTTTTTTTTAATCGGTGAATTTAATTAATTCTTGATTCCATTTTGTCCGTCCCTGTGGAGACGATACGCATACTTACACCACTATATTACGATCTATTTTAAGTGCGAGAAAAATCACATCAGTGTTTGGCGCCGTTGCCGGGGACGGTGTCGGTTTTAAGGTTGAATTAATTTCAGCGAGATTTTTTTTTACTTAGTTTCCTTTTTGTTCTTCGTAGGATTTTTTTGTGCTAACCTTTTAGGTAGTTTTCAAAGAGGCATGAGATGAACTCATTCAGCCAAATTCCTGGAGGAATTCTTACCATCAAACCTCCATGAAATATTCACCCTACACGCAATATCCTTCTAACCTTCATCATCAATATTATTCTCCTCATCAAAATTACTCTCCTACACCACAAAATTATCAGTTCCCTTATTCATACCCTCCAACCACGCAACCTTGTCTGCGTAAGAATAATATTTGTTCCATCTGTGAAGGATGTCACCATATATCTTTTTGCCCCGTTAAACCTCCTTATGGTCATCCTTACGGGACAACTGCATACCCCACTTCTTCCTCCCCACAATTTACAAGCACACATGTTTCAGCCACTCCTACATCCTTGCCATGTAATGATCTACAGGGTCAATATAAGAAGACACTTTCAGAGATTTTGTCTAAGTACACAGAGATGATGAGGGAGAGCACTTCAGCCATAACGCAGAGCACTTTAGCCATAACGCAGAGCACTTCTGCCATGATGAAGGATATAAATACCATAAGAAGCCACCTGGTAGGAGTCCAATCCGAGGAGACCAATAGGAATGATCATGTGAGCGAGTCAGACTATGATGGTGGGAATATGATGAATGATTCACTTCCTGATGCTTTTGAAGACCCACCTATGTTTGAACTTGAACAAGAAGATAGTAGTGTCGAGTTGTTTTTACAAGAATACAGGAAAAAGTTTCAAACGGTACAAGCTGTAACGGATGAAGTCACAGATCACTGTGATTTTCATACAGAAACTCCCCAGCAGTTTGATGTACCACTAGTCTCTACACCTGATGAGGGCATGAAGCAGATCATTCATGTTGATGGTGCTACTGAAGTAAGTTTGAGAATTGAAGATGAATTGGGAGAAGGTGATCACAAGCTCCAAGAGAGTGGGGGCGAGGTAGATGATGTCCATAATGAAGAAGTCATGCTCCACAAGCAAGATTACCCCCTAGTACACATGCACCGATCCGCTCTTACGTGGTTTCATATTTGGATTTCTTTGATCCATTCCTTGGTGATGATATTTCTTTTTGTATGGAGAATGATCACAACTGCGTGGAGGATATTAATAAGAAGAGTGACAAAACGAATTGGGATGCATTCATGGAGAGTGATAGCGAGTCAAGAGGAGGTGCTCAGAATTTTCATGGTACATTCGAGCAAAGAAATGAGGCGTTTGTGATACATTTTGAACAAGAGGATGAAAGTTTCATACTTCACTTCTGTGTTGATGAGGGTTATGAAGACCATGTGCTTCCTACATATATTCAAGAATTTAAAAATCTGCGCTACCTAATGGCATTTGTTGAGAGGAAGCTGGAAACGTTGACTATTAGTGCACCACTGCAGTCTATGCTATTTGATATCCTATGAGGTAGCTGCGTCGGGCAAACGACGTTAAAAATATCGTTTCTTGGGAGGCAACCCAAGCTTATTTCCTGCACTTTCATTTTTGTTTGTTTGCTTTCCGAAAACCCCTGAAAAAACGGGGTGGTTTGTGTTTTTTTTGTATTTTTTGTTTTTGCAGCTCAGTGTCTTGCTTTGGGGATGATGTGTCGAGGATCACTTGACTCAATTTAGTTCTGCACCGACCAGCGCCTTAGGGAAGTTTGAATGACTCTTTTAATCGCCTGTTTGTAATAATTAACTTGAGTTGAAGTTGAGCACGTGTGACCCTTTCCTCTTTACCCCTTGCGCATAGTGCATTTTTGGTCATCGAGGGCGATGCCAAGGTTTAAGTGTGGGGGGGGGGGTGAATTGGGCATTCGGGCAGTAGTTGTTACATGTGATTATTAGAGTTAGCATGTGCAGGTGTTAGTTCTATATTCATAAGAAAGTCATGTCAAATTTATTTTTGAAAGTTTTTCTTTAAACTGTGTCTTTGTGAACTGGCTAGCATTTTGACTATGCTTTTGAGACATATTTGAAGTGTTTAGGCTTAAATTGCTTGCACTATAATCTAGTTGTTGAGAGGATGAAGGCATTAGTCACCCATCGTATTTTTTCATAAAATCATCCATCCCACCTGAATAAGTCCTTTAGGAGAAGGCACTTTGAGCCTGATCGTTTATTGTTTACCCAATTAATTGAGCTCCATAGCTAAATGGCCTGTGTTTCCTTATCCATGAATATTTCTGATATAGTCTTGGTGTTTAGGGAACTAGGGGATTAATTTGCTAAGTTTAGGGAATCTGTGTATGAGCCAATTTTTGGCACTGTTCTTATGCCCCAAATGGGGTAAGAGCAGTCACTTTTTAGGAATTTGATACTTTCGAGGATTGCATTGTAGGCATGGATTCACTTTGAATAAATGAACCTTAATTACTATTTTTCCTAGGTGAGGCCGAGATTAGAATGGGGTAATGTCTAGTAAAAATCTCAAAATTGAAAAATTATTATAGCTAGACCTTTTATCTCGCGAAAAAGAGAATGGGAGCCCAGGTCAACAAGCGTAAGATGAGACCAGGGTATCTATCGAAAGAAATGGCGTTCTCGTGCCAACATGACAAGGAAAACTGAACCTAATTAATGAACTTGGAGGCTATTGCAAAATTAGCTTTAGTCCTTCGCGTACTTCCAGTGTACGTCAAAGAACCAATGTGTCGC